AGGGAGAGCAGTAAGAAGAAAGGCTGGGGACTCGCCATGTATGTGAATGAGAGGTGGTGTGATGCTAGCACGTTAGCGTTAAAGAGCTGCGCTGCACGAAGGATGCTGAACTGCTGGCGGTTGGTTTGCAGCCGTTCTACCAGCAGAGGGAGTTTTTAACGTCCTGGTGATGACAGTTTCCATCCCCTCCTCGGCTGATGTTGCTGCAGCCTGTGAACCCATCCACAGTTCAGTGTCCCAGCTGCAAACATCTCAGTCTCTGGTGGTCATCTCAGGAGACTTTAACCAGACATGGCTCTCCACCGCTCTCCCCACATTCAGCCAGCATGTGGACCGCCCAGCCGGGGACGGTGGGCCTTGGACCTGCTGTGTGCCGACACCAGGATGCATATTACTGAATTATTATTTTCTTGTACTTTCTATATTTTTGGATGCTGCTGTGGCGTGTACATTTCCCCCAATGGGAGATCAATAAAAAAGTTTTCTATTCTAAAATAGAATATCCTGTACACAGTCTAATGTTTCACCTGATGAAGCTCCAGCACCTATATGTCCATAACAATTCTATCTCTTTGTAAGTTCAGCTGCGTGAGGGAGTCTTCTCACATTTTTAGACTCCTGTGCCATTCACGTGATCCGAGTATGGTCCGTAGTGGACCAAAGAAACTCACACCCACCATAAGGTTTGGGTCGTACCAACCTGCAACCAATCAAATAGCTGTGGAGGGAAAAAATAAAAACTCTGCAGCTCATCTGTAGATTAACTGAACCATCCACAGTGCACCGGGCGCTCTCTACCTGCTCGTCTTATGAGCATTAATGAACTGTAAGTTAATCTAAAAAGCTGCCATTTGCAGCATATTAAATCATTTAACATTGGCTGTTTTATACTGAAATGATAACAGCAGCATCCGCCCATAGATTGATAGATTGATAGATGACGTCTGAAAATACGACGATATCAGTGTGTGAGCAGCACGAGAACAATGGAGGAACATAGCACAGAAAAGCTAGCTGCTGTTTGACACTGACCTTTTTAGCCATTTCTTTGAACAAAGTGCAGCCACAGCGACGACTCTTATGACATGGTGTAGGTTCAATTAAAGCCGACTAAACTAGTACATTTTAAATAAGTCAGACGGAGCGGTCTCCAATAGATCGGACCAGTTCAAAGCCGCAGAAGCATTAATTCTGTTCTTCCCACCGCCAAACGTACCGGACTAATCATGGAGGGCTGCTGATGGAGCTCTTTCCTCCTCATGAAAGTAAAACTCATGTGACCAGTGGACCTGGAGGTGCACGTAAATATTAAATACGTTAGAAACAGCAGCCTCTGTATGCTGATTGTCCGACCAATCAAACAGCTAGCAGACAGACTGCAGCCTTAAAACAAAGTAAATGCAGTTAGATGTGGGGATGCAGTTTTGTTCTGTCGCCTCCAGACTACTCGTTAACATTCAGCGCTGTTTTTGTGGATCGAGGGATTCTTCTGAAAAAAGCCGTTCAGGTCCTAAACTACTTCAAACAAGCCCCCACTGCGCTGCTTACTGTAAATCTTTAATTTCTCCTCATGACTGTGTGAATTATTGTTCCAGCATTCAACAGGTACTCCAACAGCCACACAGCTCATGAACAAGGACAGAACAGCTTCTCCTCATAAGCTGCCGTCTTTCAGTGTTGACACAGGTATGAGTGACAGCATCCTTAAAACCAGGAAGTGTGTGTTCAAGCACCTGTGACCACAAAAAAAAACAAAAAAACACAGTCCTATCACGATTAAGTAATCTTCAGCACGATACTGAAACCCCGCCAGCTCTTGTGAAACTAAACTTTGACACTAATGAAATGAACAAACGGCCTTTTGTGACGGTGCTATACGACATCAAAAGGCCCGACTGCGCCGCTGCTCTTCCTTAAACACAGGAATGAGTCCGCGGACGGCGCTGCAGACTCTCCGGAGAGGACTCGTCTCCCACAGCGGGCCACCTCGGCGAAGGCCTTCTCCAGCCCAGACACCCGGAGAGAGCTGTCTCCTTAGCAGCAGACTTAATTAAAAACCAACTCTTGTTCATCATTTAAGTCTCGTTTTACGGGCAGATGAAACAGCGGCAGTGTGGAAGATGACTAAAGGAAGGATATTAATAAGAAGGAACTGCTAGCAGCTGGTTGTGAAAAGGTTTGCTTAACCAAAGTCACACTTTTTAATCTGGATAATTCAGAATAAGCCCGACTGTTCTGACTCACTTAGAAAAGGATAACCGCTCTGATTTCTAGAACCTTAAACAAATGTCCTGATTTGCAGCAGGATTACTGCAAATTCTTCACTTATCTACATAAAGTGTGATCACTTTGTGTGTTTTGTGAGCTCATACGAGTCCTGTCATGAAGTGAATCATCAAAGCAGCGCCGCTACACGCTAGTAAACGAACATCATCAGGTGGTGACGCCAGAGTCTTCTCTTCGCCGTCTTCCACGTCAAGTTGTTTACAAGTTTCTCATCGAGCCCGCGGTCAACGTCAAATGACTTTTACATGAGGTCTTGTTGACAAAGAGAAGAAAGACGGCACCACAAAAAAACAATGTGACACAAGCTGTAATCTAATTATTAGCTCTGGAGTTGTTTCCAGACAGAAGACTGTGGAAGCTTTGAGGAAAGAGTGACGTCACGCAGAGCGAGTCTTCAGTCACCAGGAAGAAGAAGAAGAAAAAATAAAAGCTACTGCTGAGCTGGTTTGAATTCCTGTGTCAGCGGCTGCTCTCAGTTACCCCACAGCTCGACTGGAAACGCCGTCTGAAGCTTGATTTGCGTCGCATGTAAATCCTGCGGTGATCTGGGTAATGTGGCGTGAGCGGTTGCGGCTGCAGCGTTTTGCATGTGTAACCTGCACAACACAATCACGGCAGCAGCTTCTGGATCGGAGGTGCAGCTAAAGCGACTGATGTGGAGCCAAAGAGTGAGCGTCTGATCGGGAACTTCATGTTTAAGATGCACAGTCCAGTTCATGTGCATCCACGGCTGCTGTTATCTGCATCAGACAGTCGTAAAGTGGACTTGGCTTCATGTCTTTGTGACCACATAATACAGCGTCATCAGGCCAGACATGTACAACGATCACAGGTGATGCTACACAGCTAGCCGGGATGTTTAGGCTCTGTGTCTGATATCGTGGTTTGGGCTGCACTTAACAAGACTTACGGATGGGTTTTCATACATAAAAGAAGGATATAATCTTCTTTTGTAATTATCCTTTGGACTATAATCTTAAAATATCACCCTCATTAATGAAATCTAATTATTTTAATGCATTATTAATGTTTACGTCACAACATGGGGCTGCAGTCTCTTTCTAGAAAACTGCCTTATATGACATTAACGGGTCCTTTAGAGCAAAATACACAGAATACTCAAGGATACGGGATCAAGTTTTTGATTGTACTTCGCACGCTGATGACTCAACCTCATCCACAACGATACACATCAGTTTAACGCAAAATAATCAAGTGCAGACGACAGCGACTCACGAGTGTCGACCCAAGTCCGTCGTCTAAAACTAAGACTCTGTCGGACTTCAGACGTGCCCGACTCCAGAGGTATGGACGCTAAAGACAACGTAGAACGAAGCCATGCAGAATACTGATGCCGAGAGAAGCAGCACCTTGATGTTTTATGCATGTCTTCAGTCAACATACAGTTTTACACACCGGCATCGATAACAAACGCAGCGTTTTGGAAATACTGAACAGACACTTTCTGAACACTCTGTAAAGGCAAAAAAATGGCTTTGTGGAGTAAAACATCTGCATTATCTGAGTGGATTGTCAACCAATGTTCATTTTTTACCCGTGTGGGTCGACAGTTATATGTAGTAGCAGCACAACATACAGCATCACAGCCGAAAACCTCAAAGTGATTCATATATAATATCATCCCCCAAAAAGTAGCACCAAAAATAAATCTGTATTTTTTATTGTCCCCTTCCTGCAATGTGGATCCTCTAGTTTACAGCAGCATGCAGTTTTTTTTAAAACTAAGGTTGGAGAGAAATTCTGGACATTGAGACTTAGAAGAAAGAAAAATTTAAGATTATGATGAAGGCAATATGATTATTTTTTTGTACTTTAAGAGCTCAACTTGACAGGATTTGGATTTTTTCCACAACTATGAAAGCTCTCTGAACACTTAAACAAAACCTGAATTATCTGAGCAAACTCTGAAGTGATTTTAATCATTTCACAGGTTTATAATTAAGTAAAGTAGCACCACAGACTATAGCATCATCCTGCCAATAACCTGAAAGCAATTCACAAATAATATTGTAAAAAAAAAAAAACAGCAGTACTCCTGACTGATAGAATGAGAAAGAAATGTGGTTTTTATTGTCCCCGTTATTTGTTGTGGATCCTCTGTGTTGCAGTAGAGTCATTTTTTTAAAATATATGTTTGAAATAAAGTCTAGACATTAAAACACAGACTTAGAAAAAAGAAAAGCACAACAGGTATAATCAAGATGATATTTTCTGTCCAGTTTGATTAGATTTTGACTTTTTTCATAACATACTACAGCATGAAAGCTTCTTGTGAATGGATTTTCTCCCTTTTTTCTATATAAGTGTATAATTTGGTGAAGTAGCACCACAGACTGCAGCATCACAACAACCTGTATGTGATTAACAAACAATATTCACACTGTTACATAAGAGGAATAAAATCAGGTTTAAGGTCTCCCTCCATCTGATGTTGATCCTCTTTAGTAGCAGGTATTTATTTATTTTAATTGTGTTGGAAATAAAGTGTGGACGTAGAAATACAGACTTAGAGAGAAAAACATAAAGCATGATATAATATGAGGCACAGTTTGGGTTCACCTGCCCTGCTACACCTGTACCAACAGCTGGACTGGTTATGGGGCACAATACTGCAGGAACATCATGCACCTGGGCATTTCTGTGTTCTGGCACCACACCTGGCCTCCTGCCTGCCAGTGGAGGTGCACACTCACCCAGCAGCAGCAGCTTCAGCTCCCTCCTCGCGTCTCTCTTGTCTCGCCGCAGCTGCTTCTCGATCTCAGCGTTGATTCGTTTGGACTCCTTCGCCTCCTCGCTCAGGCAACAAGCCATCATGGAGTCTAAAGTCATCACCGCATGAGCTGGGGGGGAAAAAAAGCCCGTCTGACAAGGGGGCGCCGGGCTTACACCTCCACACCAAGTCCTCGGATGGAGCGAGACGCGCGTTCAACAAGTTCTGGTGAAGGTCTGGCTGCCTGGTGCAGAACCTGGCCTGATGGCAAAACTGCTGTCAAGTGTTAAATGTTTAACAGCTCAGTCAAAGTCTCCGGTGGATCCTCGGGCTTACAGGGAGCCGATCGCACAACATCTGCAATGCAACACAAGCGCCTCACTGGGCGGCGAATGGGTGCAAAGAACCGAACCTGCACTTCCCAGAGGAGCTGCTGTTAGTTTGGATAGCCCGTGAGCTAGAGGTTGCTAACCGAGCTAGCGTGAAAGTTGATGATTTATCAGCGTGCCGACGCAATTTAATCCCTTCCTCGCCTGGCCTCGTGAAAAATTCACGCCAAACTACCAAGTGTGGTCCCAGAGACGGTGGGACACAGCTGGCTGCCACGGCCACATTGGTACGATCCCTCGGCCGAGTACGAGCCTAGCCGCCCCGAAACCGACGCCGCAAGTTACGCCCGCGCAGTGACAATGAGCCCCCCCTGGTCCGACTGTCCATCCAGATAGGCAGCCTCCCTGTCTGCCCCGGTCCCTTCGACGAACCGCAAGCCCCGCGACAATCCGGGCGAAAGTAGGGAGCGCACGGAGCAGGTCTCCCCCCGCAGACGGACACCAGGAGAGCTAAATGGGCAGCTAACTGTTAGCTAGCTCGGTTAGCTCAGAGAGCCATCCCTGGAATTGCGGCGAGAACCCGACAGCTCGAACTGACACAGAACCTTCATTGCGCCGAGCGAACCTTCTCCAGCTGACCCCGGCGACACCGAACCCTCGGAACGTGTTACTGACACTCAAATGGACCGCTGTCGTCCGTGCATTTTCTGGCTCCTGGTATTTTTTTCCTGGTGCTGGTGCTCGCCGCTCGTCACCCACTCCTCAGCCCCGGTGTGGCGCTGCTGCTGACGACACTCGGGATACGCTTGATTGACAGGCGGCGAGGGCGAATCAGAGGCGAGCGTGTGGGCGTTTGGGGCGGGCCTTTCCCGCATGGCGAACTTCCCAAGTTTGCTTGAGAGGCAGTCATCCTTCTGGAGGCGTGTCGGCCACAGCAACTGACATTAGGCTGGAGGGGCGACGCCCATCTGCTGTCAGAGAGCTGCACTCCCACCGAGCTGTTTGTCTCCGCTGCCCGGTACAGGTGTCTGCGAGGCTCCCGCCGGTCCACGGAGGAGGACGTCCGAACATCTGGCCGCAAGCAGTGGAAACAAACTGAAGATTGTACTTGAACAGCTTGAAACAGGCTTCTTCTGACTGAGTTGCACTAAAAAAAATAAAAAGGTTTCAACTGTTGAACAGTTTGATGTTATTTTACAGATTTCTAACAGCTCGTAAAATCACTTTTTATTATTATTTACTGACTGAAGCATCACATGTTTCACCATGTTCTGGTGATTGAACGTTTCTATTTTCTTTCATCACACCAAATCTAAATCCTATCTGACCACAGAATTAAGCGCTTTATTGAGCTTTTGTGCATCTGCCTCCCTGTTAGATTTTACTGCTATATTCTTTGTTTTATTCTATTTATCCAGCTGTGACCTAAACGGTGCCCACTGCCACTCAGGCTGCTGCCAACAGAAAGTCATCACATTTTAACGTACATTACTAATAAAGGCATGTTTAATCTGTCATAGATAGATAGATAGATAGATAGATAGATAGATAGATAGATAGATATTACGTTTGGGGAACGTATCCCATAACTGCTATCAGCTGGTACCAGAACTGTTCAGATCCATCAGGATGTTCTTGCTGCTGATCCTTCACCATTCTTGCCAATGCAGCCGTCCCTCTTTCCTTCCTAACTCGACCTTTGAGTTATTGTCACACAGATACAGACTCCTCGTACTCTCCCTGTGGCCTCTGACACTTGAAAACTTCAATATGACCACATAGCTTTTCTCTTTCTTCTATAACTCCCTCTTAGAGTTTCAGCGGTGGACTCAACAAGCCCACTGAGCTCTTTGGTTGCAGCCGTGAACTGAAGTTGACAAGAACCACAGAACCACTGTATCAGAGAGTATTTCAGCTTGTAGAAGGTATCAGGACCGGATCTGGGTCGGTGTTAGACCTGTTTCATCAAGTATGGATCATTCTGGACGTGGTGTTAACAGTAAACATGCTAAAAACAAGCAGAAATAACTCAGACTGATTATTAGCGTCTTGTTTATGTCATTCCCAATTAAATAAACCTCTTGGCTAAATAGAAAAAATCTTTATAAATCAAATGGGTATGAATAATTTTGGGTCCAATTGATATATATATATATATATATATAAAATAATCTGTCACATTCTGTGTGGTGAGTATTTTTACATGTGATTATTTAATTATATTTATCTGATGAAACATATATGTAGTTTTACTGAAGCAGCTCTTTCAGTGCTTGTAATGGAGTCACGTCGACGCAACATTTTGTGGACAAAAGTCCCCAAAATAAGCAAAAAAACCAATCCCAAAACCCCCAACAAGAACCACTATATATCAGAAACTATACCTGTTTGCACTCATTTGCATAAAACACTTTGTCAACAAATACAACAAGCACCTTCAAGGAAACGGTCAATATTTGAGGGAACTGTCTTCCTCCGGTTGTGGGTCATAGGATAAGTAAAGTGTCAGACGTCTTCCAGGAATACAAATTTGAAAAAAAACTAAAAACCCAGTTAAAGAAATTGTGCATCAGTGACACATGTATGTATTTTATTTTATTTTATTTTATTTTAACTTTGCGGTTGGTTTGAAGTTCTATGAACTGAAATGCAGCAAAAAAAAAATGCAAAAGTTGGACAGTGTCTTTGGAAACCTCCTCTGATCTCCTGTGTCATGAAATATCGGCTCATTTGTCTTAAAACGTGTTAATTATGTATTAAAGGAACAGTTCCACATTTTTTTCCCTCTTCTACATACGGCCTGAGTCAGTTACACAAACTTTATGAATTTGTGCTAATTTGCTGAAGTTTTTTTTTTTTTTTTCTCTTACGGAAAATTGTTGTGTTTTTATTAAATAGTTGCTTTCTGTAGCTAGATCATAAAATATTACTGAGTTTGTTTATTTGTTTGTTTGTTTTGTCATGTTTTGTTTTGTGAACATTAAGTATCAAAGCACTAAATATTCATAATAGTACCGTTGAGAACATCCAGTGATCCCATATGTAGATTAATAGGATAGTGAGCATCTGACCGGTCGTCTCTGATCATTTTCCAACTTTTCTGCTCTTCCTGCAGGTAAAAACTTCAAACTGTCATCGTGTGGATAATTCAAAGCTCAACCAAAAATCTATATTAAAAAATAAAAAGTAAAGTTGCCATGTGAATATAAACATAACAAATACAGTCCAATATTACAACATATTTGGTGCTTTAATCTTTCATCTTGCCTCTTGTCTTACAGGTAGAAGCACGTTTTAGTATAAATTCTTTATCTTCACAGTAACTGGTCACTACAGCTGTCAGATAAATGTAGTTACAGTATTTCCTATTAAATAATATAAACTGGAGTCATAACGTGTGAGAAAAGGGAAATGATGAAGCTAAAGCGTGATTATTTCAAATATAATAACCTTTGCAGCAGAGTCGAGTCTTTCCGTCACAAATACTAAAGTTTAAACAACAGTTTCTACAAAACCATCTCTGATGTGCTTTTATTGCACAAAATGTGAATATTTATAATGATATTTTCAAAATTTTTGATTTAGATGAGTTCAGTACTTTGTGAGATGAAATATTTGTAAAAACTTCCTGTCGACTCTGCAGCACATTTTTTCTCTCGCTGACTTTTGAGGCTTCGATTGAGCGACGACGTCTCAGGAGTGATTAAAATAAAAAAGCTGAAATGTTCACGGTTATTTCTGGTCCTGAGTCAGAATCAGTAATACTGGACATAAAGATCAAATAGTCTCTGATTATGGATGAGCTGAAATGTGGAAAAAAAACAAAGCTTGCGAAAAATCTCATCTTTGAGCACATTAAAAATAAATTCTAATGTCAAAGTGGACTGCAGGTGGCTCAGTGCCTCACAGCTAGAAGGTCGCCGGTTCACGTCCCGGTGAGGACACCCGGGATCTTCCTGCGTGGAGTCTCCATGTTCTCCCCGTGCAGCGTGGGTTCTCTCCGGGTTCTCCGGCTTCCTCCCACAGTCCAGAAACATGCTGAGGTTAATTGGTGATTGTAAATTGTCCGTAGGTGTGAATGTGAGTGTGCTTGGTTGTCTGTCTCTAAGTGTAGCCCTGTGATAGACTGGTTACCTGTCCAGGTGAACCTGCCTTCACCCTGAGTCAGCTGAGATAGACTCCGCCCCCCATGACCCTGGTGAGGATGAAGGTGGAGAGATGATGGATGGATGGATGGATGGATAATGTCAAAGTCAACCGGTGATGTTTTCTGAACCACATGTGGCTCCAGGTCACGATTATTGAACACAAAACATGGAATACTTTGAAATATGAAATATTTGATAACACAAAATGAAAAGTAAATTGGTTTTACTAAACTTTCCTGGAGTCTGAGCAGGTCGGAGAAGTTGTACGACGAAAACAACTCCACACATCCAGGTAGAGTCGTGTCGTTTCAAAACTGTTCTCAAAATATAAGAAGAAAATCTCAATATTATTGTTTTAAATATAGGTTGAGGTGTTGAAGCAGAAGGTCCCTGATAGTTTGAATTGTATCCTGTAAAAACTCAGTTGTTAACAATGAAATGTCTTTTAAAACAAACGTGTTTTCAGTTTTAGTTTCTCTTGATAAATTCAACCAAAGAGAAAATCATCTGGTTGGTTTCAGTCTTAGTTTAAAAGCTGAAGTTTAATCTTCTATATTTCATTCATCTCTGAGGATGGGATGATGAGGAGAGCTCGATGTCGACATCCTCCATCTGCGATGATAAAACTGGTCTGGACTGAGAAATGAAATGTTGTTGAGCCAAGTGACATCTTGTGGACACGTGAGGTATCACAAGAGAGAGGCCGAAGAAATCATTCAGGATTTAAGCAAAAAGAAAAAAGAAAAGAAAAGAAGAAGTCTGTGTTCATCCTTTCACTCTCATCTGACATTATGAACCTTATTATTAGTAATCTTATTTTAATAGACGTGATCACGTTTACTGAACAGGTGGAGTAATGAGAGCGGGCGTGGCTGCAGGAGTCACCTCAGTTCAACTTATTGTCTCAAGAATCAAAATGTCTGCACAGTCAAGATTATATTTGGATTAAAGTTGACTACAGTTAGTTTCTTGTATTTGTTTTTTTAAAATCTGATCTCTTGGAGGTCAGATGTCAAATACCTGAGGGCGTGAAACTGGTCGGACGTGGACAGGCTGCTCGGTATGATCAGTATGATCAGGAGGATCCTGGGATGTGACTCATGACATTCAGCCAGACCTGCCGGCCCACATCTCGCTGGGCTGCAGCCAGAAGCCTCCTCACGCTGACAGGACGCTGACTTCAGTCACCGTGAACAGAAACCGCTCTGTAATACCAAATAGCAATCATAGCTTCACAGATAGCATCCAGAGATGTTTGTTGTTCTTGTCGCTCTTTGTTTCCTCTTTAGTTCGTGTGTGTTCCTTTTAATTCCTCCTCTTTCAACATATTTTAGCTTCTTTTATGCTTCTGCAGAGACACACATCCTCACTTTACAGAGACTTTGCATTAATATTTCAGCTGTGTGTATTTTTCCTGCTTTCTTTTGTCTCTTTGGTTCTTTTTTAAAAATCTTTTACCAAGTTTGTCTGGTGTCCGACTGCCTTTCAAACTTCTATTATTTTGAAAGATGTCCATTATTAGCAACACATGACCTCACTACAGAGACATTTTAGCACCGTGGCCTCACAGCTAGAAGGTCACCGGTTGGCGTCCCGGTGAGGACACCCGGGATCTTCCTGCGTGGAGTCTCCATGTTCTCCCCGTGCAGCGTGGGTTCTCTCCGGGTTCTCCGGCTTCCTCCCACAGTCCAGAAACATGCTGAGGTTAATTGGTGATTGTAAATTGTCCGTAGGTGTGAATGTGAGTGTGCTTGGTTGTCTGTCTCTAAGTGTAGCCCTGTGATAGACTGGTTTCCTGTCCAGGTGAACCTGCCTTCACCCTGAGTCAGCTGGGATAGACTCCGCCCCCCATAGTGAGGATGAAGGTGTAGATGATGGATGGATGTTCGACCAAGAACTGTTTATTTGAGTCTGCAGCAGAGCAGCATTTTTCCAAACGCCTCTGAGAGTTGTTTGTTATAAACTGAACTATGTGACTACAAATAAAAAGTGACAGAAATGTTTAGTTTATTCGCCCAAAACAAGCCAAACAACCTGGAGTGAAATCTGAATCATGCTGCCATTGAAACGTCTTCTGCTTGACATAAAACAATCAAACCTGTGTTTGTACGGTTGTATTTAAACGCTCTCTCCTGCTGAACAACAGTTTGCATGAATTAACAAGCTGCTCTCATGCAGGAAGCTGCCGGCGGCGCTGCTTCGTCTCCAGAGTGTCACAGAGTCTGATGGCTGCCGACAGATTAATCATTGATCGATCCCACAGCAGCACAGAGTGACAGGACGACGGAGTCGCTGCTGCTGCTGCTGCTGCTGCTGCTGCATGTGCTCATCAGAAAATCAAGTCGATCAAACAGGACCTTCAGGCCTGAACTCATCAGACGAGTGTTGTGTGGTTTGAAGGCTTCACCTGTGGCAGCAGGTGAAGACGTCTGTCTTCCTGGAAGTAGAACATGAAGCAGATTCCTTCCTGTTGGTGTCACACCCACTGATTCTGGATCAAACAACACGGCATCTCCTGATTTCTTTACTGTTCCTGAGTTATTCCTCTGATTCTTTTTCATTTTGACGACACGTCTTAAATTAAATGAGTGACGGGAAAATAAGAAACGCAGAAGACATGAAAATATTTGTTCAAACACGACAGATGTATAGTGATCCTCTGAAGAACTCGCTAAAAATATGATTATAATAAGAAATCAATGTGTAAACTAACAGAAAAATACTGGCAGTAAATCCCATAAACTTCCTCTTGTATTAAAACATTTCTGAAATAAACAGTGTGTCCACAGTAACAAGCAATAACTCCACATTTGCTGTATTTAATGGTGACTCAAGAGTAAAAAACAAAAACAAATAAAAACAAAATGTATAGGTTTAATTTAAAAAAAAAATAATAATAATAACAATACTGGAAAAATACATTTTTGCTAATTTAAAAAAAATAGCAAAAACTACTTTTGTCTGTTTCTTACTCAAAGTGACTTGATTTTCACAAAAAATAAAAGTTAAAAAAATAAAACAATTCCGTCAGATCATATAAATTTTCCTGGACAGAGTTTTTACAGTAAGATCTGAACATAAATCCTTTTTATTGAGCACATTAACCTTTCTATACATTTCTACTCACTGAACTTGTTGTTCTGTTGAACTACATAAAACACTCGGGGTATAAAACACCTCTAACAGACTCAAGGGGCCCTAATTAGACGTAAAACACATCTTTTTTCGTTTCACTCTTTCACACTCAGAGGACCCTCCACACACACCTCTCCTGCTCTTTCACCTCACCTTGTTGCCATGGCAACGCAGGGCTCAGGTGAGCTCAATATCTGAAACCACGAAGGCCTGGACAAACCGGTTCTGCAGGCCGGGACAAAAGATTGACATCCAAACAGCAGCAGGAGGAGGAGGAGGAGGAGGAGTGATAAAAACCTGCCGGGCTCCTCGCCTGCTCAGAAAACCTGACAGATGACTCTGATATTAGTGGTTCCTTCAGGGATTTGTGATGTTTGCAGAACTCTGGGTGTGTTCTGGTGTGTTGTGTCACATCAGCCTCACATGAAGCTGGATTAATGTGTGTAATTTAGCCGTCAGAGGATTCGTCTTGTCATTGTTTTCTCATAAAGTGATTCATTATATGAGTCAAATAAGAATGATAATCAAAACAAATCAGCTTCCAGAGGGTTCAGTGAAGGACACAGAGTGAATAAAATGAAGAGCAGGAGGTGTAAAGATGGACGTTTAATGACAACATACATGACAATCCCACAGAACGCGTGTGAAGCTGTGATTTCACTGCAGCTCACCTGAAACATGAAGCAGCAGAAGCTCTGCAGCAGCCGAAACTTTATCCAGGAGGCAGCTCAGGATTCACGGCGCCGTCAAACCACAGCGAGTGCAGCGCAGCCGGCTTCTGGTCCAGGCTTTTCAAAGTTACGCTGCTGTCTGATCAGCAGGAAGGTTCACCTGCAGCCTCACGCTAACCCAGAAAAAACTCTCATTTAAAAGATCCGGTTCAGATGAATGACGGGTCCGTCATCAGCTGGAGAACATCTTCATTCAGGAGGTGCTTCAGGAGGTTTTCAGTTTTACTGGAGTTATTTGGTTTGATGGTGTGAAACCAGAGCTGCAGATGTTTATCATCAGTGAATCATTTTGTCTGTAAATTGTCTATGAGTTGTCCATTAAATCCTGAGTCAGCATCCTGTAACATGACTAACAGCCCAGAAGCTCAAATATTCAACGTTTTTTTAAGGAAGTGACACAGAAACGCTGCAAATTCTCACATTTATCTGCTTAAAACGACTTAAATGATCATCAAGTCCTGCTGCTGAAATAAAACCAGGTGAGTCCACAGAGAAGGATCTTGGAAATGGATCCATAAAGAACTTTTTTTGGCTAAAGTTTCTTAGAAAAGTGGTTCTTAAAAGGATCTTCTGCTAAATGGTTCCTTGTGGTTCTTCTCTGGCGTCACTGTGAAGAACCATCTCTGGTTCCACTTGGCACCTTCATCTTCCTGAGTGTAGCCGTATGTTCTTCAGAAACGGACACAAACTGTTAGAATTTAAACCTGATTTCTTTTCCTTCATCTCAGCGTGAGTTCTCTGTTTTCTTCAGTTTCTTTACTCGTGTTTGTTTCCTGGTTCTGAATGATGCCAGTAAAGAAGCAAGCTGCTCTTTCATAACGCACAAACAATAAAAACCAACAACAACAACAGGCCTGACGTGATGGATTATTACATTAAATGTTCTGATGTTTGCTCTCATGTATGAAGCGGACTCGTGACCGGCCTGTTTGCTCTGGATAATGTGCTGAAGGAGCGGTCGGCATCGAGCATGAATCACACGCTGTGGGCAGAAAACTACTGACGGCCTTCACGGATTCAGCTTCTGAAACACCGCCGAAGTCCAACAGTCTGATCAGAGAAGTCACGTCAGAGCTGCTGAGATCCAGAACAAGAGGCTGGTGATGGCAAATGGACTTTATCTGCTGATATGAAAATACAGGCCGCTGATAGAAATGAAAAGATTTATTCATTAACTGCTTGTTTTTAATTCTTGTAATGGTTTTAATTCCTGGAGTAAATGCCCATATTAGAAAATGATCTAGACACAGAAGGAGTCGTGTCTAGACGATGATCCTCGTCTCACATGTCGGTAAACTATTTGTTCCAATGAACCACCGTCACACAAGTCTTCAAAGTGAAACTAAAATCACTTTTTAAAGTTTTCTCTGCTGAACAAACACATCCAGTGTTTGTTTTCACTGTTCTGTGTCAGACGATGAGCTGCTGTTCAGACTCTCATACATCCCATAATACTTCTGCTGATGTCGTCCTTAGATGGTGTAAAACTGATTTAGCTGCAGATTTTACCAGCAGTCAGTGGGAGAGGTGGCGGATCAGTGGATCAGTGGTTCGGTCTGCAGGCTGCTGACCAGAAGGTCGGAGGATCAAACCCCGGCGCCGCCACTTTGGGCCCTTGAGCAGCTCCTCCTGTTCCATCAGTGACCCGGCGCTCTGACCCAAACTGGGATGTGTGAACAAACAGAACAACATGTCACAGCTCTGTCATGTTTCTGTGACTTTCTCTAAAATGTGTGCATGAGAGCTCAGAAACACTAAAACTGCAGAAAGAAGAATTAATTTTCATCTAACTGTTAAAAGACAAACAACAACAAAACAAAAACATTCACATCAAACATCAGTATTTTATAAATGGTCATTTAACCTACATTTTAAAACCACATTATGATTTAAAGGAGCAAAACCCAACCATCAGCAATGTTTGGCAGGATAAAAATCTGTTTTTACAAATCCTGATTTATTCTTTTAAAACATGTGATCCTATCATTATGTTGTTTAACTTAAATCAGCTGTAGATATTATCTGACTGTAGTTTGACATGACAGCATTTGTTTTCTGGGCATCCTTCCTGCCAGAGTTTTACATATGGGACACATGTTCATATTTTAGCCCATTTGATCCACTTTGAGGATGTTCTTGCTGCATATCTGGGCTCAATATTAATCTGTAACCAGTAACTACTGTTGGATGAATATAAAAAGCACACATTAACCAGAGCTAGAAATAAATACTGAGTGAAGTAAAACTATGAAGCAGCAGTATAATATTTCACATAAAGCTGACCCCAGTGTAAAACTCATGCTTTTATTTTCTAGACAGAAACGCCTCACTTCCGGCGCGCCTGCGCTCTTTGCCGCTGCCTTGCCGCGGCGGCGCCCTGAGCGCATTCCAGCTCCGCAGAGCTGTGAGCGGATCGCGGAGGAAACACATTCCTGCGTAGGCGCGGTGGACTTTCCCGAGCGGCAGGTTGTTTCGTGCGAGCTGGAATAAAAAGCTGCTCAAAGTGCGCCTCGATGTGCGCCGAGGACGCTGTCGGTGCGCTCCGGGGACAGTAGCTGCGGAGGATCCGGGACAGCGAGCAGGAACATGGACCGCTGGGAGCAGCTCGTACCTGCTGGTCTCCAGGGAGTCTGACACCGAGGTTGGAGGTGAGAAGCTGTTTTCTGTTGGTGAACGCAGCTGTGCCAGGACGGTGCGTAATTGTGCCTTTTTTGTGCCATGATTTAACCAAAGCTGCTGTTTTTAAGCAGATGGAACAACTTTAAAGGAACTAATTCAGCTCTTAGAATAAGTTTCAGACTCCATCTCTCCGGTATTTAGTTCAACCATCACACATCACGGCGGTGTTTCCCCCAAATCCATCACTGACACTCAGGATTTTACTTTGAAATCGAACTTTATTGAAGTATTTCGCTGGTAAAAGCTGCTTTCATGCTCCTCGGTGAGGTTTGTGATCCGCCCACAGCAGCGTTTGGTTCAAACCACAGCTGGTGAGTTTTTAAATGTCACCTTTAAACCCTGAAACAGTCCAACGAGCAGCTTCTCAGCGTTTCTTGTGCATTTTTACTCGCTGTTGGTTCCACCATGAAGAATCCCAGAGACATCAGTGATGCTCAGGGTTTTACTTTGAAATGCTTTTATTGAGGTATTTCGCTGGTTTCATGGCCCACAGTGAGGCCTGTCCTCCACCCACAGCAGTGTTGTGTTTAAATCAGTGCTGTTGAGTGTTTAAATGTCACTTTTCGACCCTTCCAGGCCACATCACGGTCCAGTCTGAGCATTTTACTGACTGTCGGCTCCTTTCTGACTGCCATGTGAAGTCCTGCAGCTTTTAAACTGTGACTGAAATGTTTTAAATGCATCAAAATGACTTGATTTCAGTCACAAGGATTAAATTTTAAAGCACGTCACACAGAATATTTATTACATTTCTTTATTATGTAAATCAAATTCATCCATAGATCATGTTATTTGTAGAACTTTATTTGTCTAGTTTATAAATGTAAACACGGATCTTAGACAGAACCGACACATCTTGAGCATCAGAACCAGTTCTATGATTAAACCTATAAGTTAAATGTCAGCCTGATTACATTATAAACTACAGACATTTGTTTGGCCTTCACAGAAAACACACCTTTGATTTCACGGCGGATGTAATCGTCTGTGTGTTTGCACTTTATGACTGTTTGATCCGGATAGAAGCAGGCGGAGACGCATGGATTTGTTTATGGATTTATTTCAGGCACGCCACAGAAGCATGAAGGCAAAAAAAATAAAATAAAATAAATCACACAAACAAAAACCTGAATCCTAAAATAATGTCAGAAAGTTTAACTTCTGAACTTGTACCAGCTGCAGCTAATATCTGACTGGTTTCTGTTTGTTTCATGCACCTTTAGCGTCCCACAAGATTCTATTTTTGCCTTTTTTTGTGCATTTTTATTAAATATATTATAGTTGTGTTGATCCTGAGTCTTCATGTGTTAAATAATCAGCTTTTGGCACAAAAGACTCTGATTTTAGGCAACATCTGTGATTTAAACGCACTGAAGCCTGTGAGATGTTTAAAAAAGGCAGTTTAGAGTCATCAGCTGGTGTGTCAGTGAGTTAATACCAACAGATCTACCAGGAGGTCTCCTCAGGTGGACACACGGTGACTCTGATTATCCATCGACAGTCTGATTCCAGGTTCTGGGGCGATGGCGGGCTGCTGGCGATGGTGCCACCGCACATGCGTGTGCTGCCTGTCGGAGGAGGACAAGAAGACCGTCGCCGTGGACAAAGAGATCAGGAAGATCCTGAAGCAGCAGCGGAAGAAGGAGCAACGGGAGATCAAGATCCTGCTGCTGGGTCAGTACAGCTTTAACAGCAGATAGATCCGATTAAACAGACGTCAGGCGACACCTACAATCTGACAAGCAACACCCAGCATTCAGAGTCGGAGCGCCCGGCCTGTTTGGTGGCCTGCAGGCAGCCGGCAGCTATGTGAAGCATGTGTCACCAGGTGAGTGCGTGAGGATCAGGCCAGGTTGGGGATTGGTCGGACCAGAAGCCTGCAGACCGGAGACGAGCAGCCCACAAACCTACATTTTCAAGCTGGTTTGACGACTCGGGACCTGACAGGCAGCAGAGGCGTCTTCGCTCTCGGTTTAAAAAAAAAAAAAAAAAAAGAGGCATTGATTTGTTTATTTTGCAGAGACAGTGAAAGTAATGGAGCTGCTGGTTTACACCTGTTTACACCTGTTCCCTCCCTGCTCATAAAAAAAGAAAACAGCCGCAGAGCAACACGAGCAGTCCGTCAGCGTCAGATAGTAAATAAAAAAGATCCACAAATGAGGCAGAAATATCGTTATTTTACAGATATTTGCTTTTATTTCAGCAACAATATTATTGTATTTTAGTGTATTAAGAGCTGAAAAATGGTAAATAATTTCTTTTTTCTGTTCTGGTAAATTACAGATGATAATAATCAGTAAATCCACAGACGAGGATTCATTTACATCATGTTCACTTTAAAAAAAGAAAAAACAGAAAAGCCTAAAACTGTAAAAACAAACAAACAAAAAACATCTACATTAAATAAATAATGTTTTTACTAATGCTGTTCTGTTCTTTTATAACATGTGACCCTAAACCTACACAGTTTTATTATATTTAAATCAGCTAAACATATATTTACTGTTATTTCTACACTGTTCCGCCTCCATCCTGCTTTAAACGCTGCACAGCTTCTCTAATGTTCATGGGGATGGATTTACACTCCTTCCTTAAAAATCCATGTTTTTGGAGAGCAGTCACCTCCAGAAGACGTCCTGGTCCTACCGGCACGTCGCTGCTTGTGTCGGTGATGTTCAGCTTCAGGCTGCGTCAGAGTCACAGAAGTCTGAGGAAGTTATTTTTTAGGATGTTGCAGCGACATCATCTCCTGTTTATTATCAGATACTCACAGCTTCCAGACGACAGGATTACGTCGGATTAAAAGCACGTTATGCTGAGATTAGAGCTGATGAATCAAACACAGATGAATAAAAACATGCTACGAACTCTTCTCTCTGTTGTCGTAGTAAATTAGCATTGGTAGCTTCTCTGGTTCGTTAGACGAAACGAGCAACTTCCAGACGTTGATTTGGTCTTTACAGAGTTTTTTTTGCTGCTTAATGACTTTTTTACTGACCAGAAATGAGCTGATTAATTGGAAAAAGCTGCACATTAATCAACAAGGAAAATAACTGATTATTTAGAGATAACTGTATAAACTTTATTTATTTATTTGAATTAAAAAAACATCCATTATTTGAAGGTAACGTGTAAAACTCTGTTCCTGTTGTAACACAGCCAAATCCTACATTTGTTTTATGCCAGATCTATGAAATAGAGTTAATTTTTAGTAATTATTTAATAATCTGTTGATTGATTAATGGTTTTTCTTTAAGTAGACCCAAAGATGTTCCCATGACGATGAAATAAGACAAAGAAAAGAAGCAAACTCTCACTTTTTAAAGATGATGAATGTCTTCAACATTTAAAGTTTTATTAACAGCCTGTTGGTTTTCCTTCGATGACTAATCAGTTCATCCACCGGTTGTTTCCGTTGTGGCTCCTGCAGTGTTTTATTGTTTTATTGTGAAAAGTCCCGACGGTCAAACTGTAAAGCGTCTGAGGAACCGTTTGACAGAAGAACTGGCCCATATGGACGCAGTGTGTGTGGTCGGTTATCAGCAGACTGAATACAGACGAGTTGGGGAAATCCTACGACGACACGCAGCTCCGGTCAACAGTAACACTGAATTATTGCCTCAAACGAATGTTTGTCGACGGGAACAGGACTGTCAATAAAACCGCTTCGGTTCGGTTCAGCTGTTTCCTGGAAGGCAGGTTGAGAAACAACAGGAAGGCTTCAGAAGTTACGGGTTTGACGGCTGGATGAGTTATCTGCACCCAGAGAGCATCAGTCAGACGTCAGCCGATGGTCTACGTCAGTCTGGGAGTCACTGAAATACAGACAACGGCCAGTCAGCTGTAAAGGCAGGGTGATAAAATACAGCAGGTGGAGCTGATGGATCCTCAGAGCTCCAGTAGAAATGGACTTCTGTTGTAGGTTCTTTAGTCCTCAGGGTCTGGAGCTCGTAGGATCATTAAGACCTGGATGACTGAGATTCTAACAGAAGAACTAAACCGAGACGCCGATGAGCCACAACATCAGAACCACCTCCTAAAAGTTGTCTGGATCCTCCTTGTGCCTCCAGAACAACTCTTGGGTGATGCTGGTCATGGATCCTTCGGGTTGTAGGGTCCAGGTTGTTCTGGTGGACGCCTGATTACGGGAGGATTTGGAGAGTTTGGAGGTGAAGTCAACACCTTGAGCTCTTGGTCGTGTTCCTCGAGCTGTTTTTGTGACGTAGTGATGAGGAGTGTCCGACTGCGGGAGGCTCGTCTGCAACGGTTGTGTTTACGTTTGATTTTCATCCATGAAGCGTTACAGTCTGAACGTAGTCCAGGTCCTGATTCCAACCTGACAAATGCACAGAAGATGAAACATTAGATCTACTGATTTAAATAAACCTGTTGAGCTGCAGATTTTGTGTTTATTGGTCGTGTTGACGTCAGAATGTTGCATCAACTTCATCCTGTTCGTAACTTCAACTCAAACTTCTGCATTAGTTGGTTTAAAGCTAAATTCAAGCTGAGTTTCATGAAACTGGCTTCATGACTTCATTATTTCTCTGGATGTCAGGTCTCCTCCTCCTGAACATGGACCTCTATAGACGGTTAAGACTGGTGATTAAAATACCTTTAATTGTCGAGGAAATGCTAATTGTCCCAAGTCAGCGTAGTTTGTCCATCTGATGCAAATTATTGCATTTAATGTTTATTTTCTTTTGAGTGAATGTAAGTGTAGAAAGAAGTGAACTGAATCAACAAACTTTGAAGAAATGTCTCCAATTTTTGCTTTAGGTGTTTTTGGACTGTTAAAATAAAAAAAGGTAAAGAATCAGAATCAGAATCAGAATCAGTTTTATTGCCAAGTAATTTTTACATCACCAGGAATTTGACTTGGTCCATTGGTGCAAAGAAGCAGAGCGGTCGATGTAAACATGTTTTTTAAATTTCTTTTGTTGTTTTTGTTCCTGGATGAGATCAAACTTGTCTGACACCAGCTGACATGAAAGAATAATGACACCTTGCCTTTTAAAAAACAGATTTCTGTCCATTTTCCTCCCACAGAGGATGTTTAAAAAAAAAAAATTTTTGTTAATTCACTTCAAAGAAATCTTTTGGAGCAAATTTGCTTTTTTTTTTTTAAACATTTTTTGCAGCATTTCCAGCGTTTGCTTCAGTTCACTTGACGATCATATGAAAACAAAGCGTACATTTAGCTGCTTGTTGAAGCGACATCCAGACGGTTCGTCTGCAGACGCCGTGACCTGATGATCGACTCGTCGCCTGTCGGTGGTTTTAATGTTGTGGCTGATCAACCGGGCGTTTCATCTTTAAACAGAAGCATTTTACTTTCTGTTGCCTCTGATCTGTGAAACCCAAGAGCTCAGAGAGCGTCAGAGCTCCGTCCAGTCGAGCAGGATCTATCGGTTCTTTTGTTCCTCCGCTGCGGTTCCTTTATTGCCTTTAAGGGCTTTAAGTTTTTCATCATGTACCGACACAAGCAGCTGAGAAGCAATGCTGTCGCTTCCTGATCGCTGAGTGGATCCTTTACCAGCTCAGTGCAAAGTGTTTGTCAGACAGCTGTTGGCTTCAGGTGTTCAGTTGTTGCTTTGTCCATCCAGTCATCTCATTCTGGGGATCACCTGGAAGGAGTTTCTTTAAATTTGGCACCAACGTCCAACTGGACTCTGATCAGATTGTGGTGGTTGAACTCGAAGGTCACCGTGACCAGAAAACACATTTATGGGCCACGAGTCAAGAATTCACAGCAGTTAAGACGGAATAAGTAAAGATGATCAGAAACACTGTAATTCATGAAAAGAAGGAGAACTGTGAGCGTGGCAGCGTTCCAGATCGTAGACTTTGTGTTTGTAGATTCAGCACAGATCTGGGTCTACTTCATCCCTACATGGCACCTTTAAGCCATTTGGCTCATTCGTCCGTCGCCGTTTGAAGCGTGACATGAACTCTATTTCATGGTTTTTATTCCTGCAGGTCACCGTGATGCATGTTGTGGTTTACAGAGGATGTAGTTGGACGTTCTGGTGTTTCTGACGTCCAGCACTGGACTGAATCTTCTTCTGTAGACCATGTAGAGGCTGAACTGGTGTCACCAGCGTTTGGCTGCTCTGTGCTGCTGGTTGAAGATGTGAAGCTTTCAGCATTTGAAGCATCTTTGCAGCAACGTTCATGTTTAAAGCTTCGTCTGCGGTCGTAGTTCTGACTCTGTGTCACATCAGATCTGATTCATTGGTCAAACGCCTGCAGTTTGTCTGTTGTTAATGAATTTAGACGCTTTGGAGGCTTTGCTTCTGTGAGCCTGGACAGATGTGGGAATGAACAGCAGCTTGACTGGTTGGTGGACGCTAACGAAGGCTAATGTAATGAGTTTTTACTGAAGACCTTTTGATTAAATGATCTGGTGTCACAATTCAGAAAAATAAATAATTTTTTTTTCAAAATTTAAATGAAAAAACTAAACAAAATTAGTCTCTTTTGCAGCTCATAGTGCAGTTAGTTGTTAATGTTTTCGTTTGTTTTACAAGTGAAGTCGTTTACGAGACTTTTTTTGTCATTAGATGAAATAAAACTTTATTAATCCCAAAGGAAAGTCCTGGGCCAGATGTTGCTGAGAAATAAATAAGATGAGAATAAATGCAGGAAATAAAACAGAAAAACAAGTAAAATTCTTAAAAGTGAATGTAAGTAAACTAAAATCAGAGTAGAAATTTAAAACAACAAAGTAAGACTTAACCTGGCCGTGATCCTGAGGTAGTAAAATAATCCTTCACCTGACGATGACTTGTTGTTTTTATTATTTTTCTCTAATTCACTCGTTTTCTTGTCTTTGGACTCGAAACACAAACAGAAAAAGACAGTGAATGAATAAAAACACCACCGTGACTAACTGAACTTTATTGTTTCTCCTGCTCGTCGCCTCAGGAACCGGGGAAAGCGGGAAAACCACCTTCATCCGACAGATGCGCATCATCCACGGCCAAGGCTTCTCCGAGGACCAGAGGAAGGCCTTCGCCAAATGCATCTTCCAGAACATCTTCACCGCCATGAAGGCCATGACGGGAGCCATGATGACGCTCAGGATCCCCTACTCCAACCGCGAGAACGAGGTAAACCCACCGGCCAAACCGCGCCCGGCTACATGAGAACACAGGTGTCAGTACAGGTGTGCCGGCGTCGGATCAGCAGCAGGTTTATGGGATTAAGACACTCGGAGCAGGTGGAGGTCCGTGAACCACCGGCAGCTTCACCGTGATCCCGACAGGCTGAATCCCGGAGCAGGACACATGTTGGAGGGCTGATCAAACAGAGATGCTCCTTCTAGTTTAACTGAATAATAAAAGTTTTAACCCTGTGGTTCTCCTCCAGGACTACGCCAGGTGGCTGCAGGACGTGAACACGGTTCAGGTCACTCAGCTGGATCGACGATACGTCGAAGCGATCCGCCGCCTCTGGGCCGACTCGGGGATACGGGTCTGCTACAGCCGGCGCTGCGAGTACCAGCTGCTGGACTCCACAGAGTAGTGAGTACCGATGAGGCACCACAGGTTCTGGACCGGAAATCAGTCACATGATGAATCAATGAGCAGCAGTTTGTATGAAAGTACATCTGAACATCTGGAAAAAGGAAAGAATCACCTCAAAAAGCACAAGTGTTGCATATTTATGTTTAATTAGTAGAAAAGTTTTCTCCTTTTATTTATGTTCAACTTAGACTCATGGTCCGTTTAATTTGGGTTTTTCAACAAGAATTTACCTAAAAAAAGACTGAAAGACGTTTTCTACAGTAACTCTCGTTCTGGTCAGTCGGCTTCCAGCAAACGGTTAATTTTTGGTGAATTTTTAAATCATATGAAGTGATTTTGGCGACAGTTTGAAGCTTAAATTTGATTAAATCATCCAGATGAATGACAGATAAGTAGAAACGTTTGGAGAATCAAAAACCTGCAGATTGTTTAGTTTTACGGCTTCTGGCTCCGATAGGTGGAGTAGATCTGCTGATTCTGGTTTCAGAAACCCGAAAGAATCAATAGTTCTGTAGCTTGACCCAACTAGCTTTAAATTAAGATTATTGACAAAGTTGTTTTATTTTCATGTGGAGCTACAAAACCTGCAGAAGCTGTGATTTTGGAGTAATTCAGCCACAAACGAGAAACTGATTCTAGAGCAGAGTGAAGATGCGGAGAGACCTGCAGGATTTGGTCTTTAGGTTGGTTTTAGTTCAATCTGAATCTGTGTTTATTTTATTGTCGTCAGCAGTTTAAAAGAAAACTCATGAGGTGACACCACAGCCTGGAGCGAGCTGAGCTTCCTTTAGTCAGACTGAGGCAGGAAGTCCTCATTTCATATAATAATGCTAAAAACACAAACGTCTCCGTCCCATCACACCACAGAAGAGTCTCTAAAACCAGGAGACATACAGTCCATAGCGTGGCATCCGTACAGATACACAACAACAGGAGTAATGGATCTGAAACCATAGATTCATATAAAAATAAAAGTAAAATCAAAAGAAGTGTCGAACTGGTGAGAAGAACAACAGCCTCCATCGACAGGCTCATGATGGCAGATATGAAACACATCACAGGGACACGTTCACCTGAGCAGGTGCACGATAACTCTTTATTCTCTTTTTTATATATATTTATTTTTATTGAATTTTCAGAGATTTACATTTATAATAATCAGAGATACACTGGTCAAGGGTAGATTTGGGTGTTGGTAGAACTTACCAAAGCACCACGAGAACATCAACAGAACCTTCAAGAAAACCAAAACCAGGTGAAAAAGAATAAGTACAATAAAAGTAAGATGAAAATTAAAAAAATAAATAATGATAATTATATTTTACAAATGAGACACTGAGCAGTGAATGAAGGAAACTCTTTACTGTCAAACTGATGAAGAGTTTATGAGGAAAACATCAACTGTTCTGTGAGACCAGCTGCTTTAATCAGGCCTAAAAATAACCAGAATCACGGCACAAAGTTTCCCTCCGGCTGCTGTTTTAATCAACCTGAGGTGAAGGTGTGAGCCGCCGAGCAGCTCGGATGTCACAGAACAAAGGCGGCGCTGCTCGTCCTCTCTGCTCTGTGTTTACCCGGCAGCTCGATAAGAGACAGCCGGTCAACATTAGCTAATGACAGCTTGAATCAACAGCAGCCATACGGCCGCCGTGTGCTCGGCCCGCCGCAGCTTTAATCACAGCTTCTTCTTTTTATCGTCGCTAATTCATCGCACACCTTCAGTTTGTTTTGCCGGCTGGAGGCTGAAGCAAAGCAAACAGTGTTTTACTGGACCGTGGTGTCACAAACAGGTGCTGACTGTTTCCTCTCTGCTTTGCAGCTACATGAGCAACCTGGAGCGCATCTCGGCTCCGGACTACATCCCCACGGAGCAGGACGTGCTGCGGGTTCGCTTCCCCACCACGGGCATCCACGACTACTCCTTCACCATCAAGAACATCACGCTCAGGTGGCCCACGCTGAGGTTTCCACACCAAAATCCAACACCGACGCTATTCACCGCGCCGGGGAAACAAATACCGTCGACTCCGGCGGCGGCTTTGTCTGCTCACACCTGTTTAGATTTGGCCGGATCAGGTTTCTGGCTGAACCTGGGCGGAGCGGCGCCGCTCTGTGGGTTTTATTCTGAACATGTGGAGGAGGCTCGAGCTACAAAGATCCAAAGTTCATTTGTGAAGGGACACTGTGTTCCCAAATGAAACGACACCTGCTCTACAAACAACCTGCACCGAAGAAAGAATTAAATTAAACCGCTTTAACAGCAAAATGAAGCTCTGAAGCATCATTTAGCAGCACAGCAGAGCAGATTTATGGTATTTAGTAGTGAATTACTAACATGAGCGAGCTGTCACCTGCTTGTTTCTTGATCCTCGGTGGCTTTTCGAGAAGGTTTCACAGGTTTTTAGGAGAGTTTCCCATTAGAGATGCTTTGTGACTGTGAGGAGCTTCTGCAGCGAACTGGAAGCATCTGGACTTCTGTTTGTGGTGTTTTGAGTCACACTAGATGTCAAACATTTAGGAATGAATGAAGTGTTTCAGCCCGACCTGCATCCAGGTTAGAAAACTCACACTGATAAGAAATAAAAGCTAATTCCACTTTAAAAGTCAGAGCTTCGCTAACGGGACTGAAGGCGACGATCAGATCCATCAAACCTGGACGAGCTTCATTCACATGTAAAGCAGCTCAACAACAGAATGTGTCTGAGTTCTCACACTTCATAGAAATGTAACTGGATCATTTAGAGCAGGGGTCTCCAATCCTGGTCCTGGAGGGCCACAATCCTGCAAGTTTTAGATGTTTCCCTTCTTCCAACACACCTGATTCAAATGATCATCTCATCATCAAGCTCTGCAGAAGCCTGATAACCATCCTGATCATGTGAATCAGGCGTGTTGGAAGAGGGAAACATCTGAAACATGCAGGATTGTGGCCCTCGAGGACCAGGATTGGACACCCCTGATTTAGAGTAATCTTTAATAAGGAAGTTCTCCTTAAATCGTTCCAGATCGACACTAAAGAGATGAAAATCTTTAAGTGAACTGAACTCCTTTCTAACTCCTCCGTCCCTCCTCTGGTCTCCGGCAGGATTGTGGACGTGGGCGGTCAGAAGTCGGAGCGTCGGAAGTGGATCCACTGCTTTGAAAACGTCACGTCCTTGATCTTCCTGGCTTCCCTCAGCGAGTACGACCAGGTCCTGGAGGAGAGAGAGACCATCGTAAGAGCACCGATAAAATCAGAGAAGCATTTCCTACCACGTCATTTACTGTCTGCTTTAGAACAAACGTACTTCAAGCAGCAGAAGTAAAAACACTCGCTATGCAGACAGACGGCGTTCAGGACATAAATGGTTTAATGTCAGTTAAATACTTTCTGATTCTGGGTGAGCTGAATAAGACAACAGGATCATCTCTGAGCTCACATCTACATAAAGACTGATGATGCTGACCAGCTGCAGGTCACAGAAATCCAGAACAGAACACGTAGAAGACGTTTTAATAGAAATATTTATCACAAAAAATAAAATAAAGTTATTTTCACTGAGCAGGTCCGACAAGCTGAACCAGAAAAACTAACTCATCGCTCAGCAGCTCGTTCTGAGTCGACCTCACGCTGATGGATGGTGTCATGAGGATGATTGGTTTTAACACGTCTTTATAAGCTGCCTGTGAGTTTAGAGCAGGGGTCTCGAACTCCGGTCCTCGAGGGCCGCAATCCTGCAAGTTTTAGATGTTTCCTTCTTCCATCACACCTGATTCAAATGATCAGCTCATCATCAAGCTCTGCAGAAGTCTGATAACCATCCTGATCATGTGAATCAGGTGTGTTGGAAGAGGGAAACATCTAAAACTTGCAGGATTGCGGCCCTCGAGGACTGGAGTTCGAGACCCCTGGTTTAGAGGGTAAAACCACAGAAACTGAGACACAAATCTTAGTGTGTAATATGTTTTTAAAATGTTTTATCTGTGTATGTTGTGAGCTACATGTTGTAAAGCTGCTTTCATGCTTCGGTTGAGCCGTTCTGCTGTTTCATGAATAAATCAGGTGAACAGCTGCTGGATGAATACGGTGACATGAAGCTCACTGGAGTCGTATAAACTAATCATTAATCTCTTTCTCTGTTTATCTCTTTGTCTCGCTGCAGTCATGTCACGCTTCCACCACCAGGTTTCACTCTTGCACCAGGAAGCCTCTCCTCAGCTTCCTCTCCATCGTCTGCCTCCTCTACCTCTTCTCCATCCTCTGCCTCCTCTGCCTCCTCTGTCTCCTCAGCCTCCTCTGCGTCCTCTCAACCTCCTCTGCCTCCTTGCATCCTCTGCTTCCTCTGACTCCTGTCTGCCTCCTCTCTGCCTCCTCTCTGCCTCCTCTCTGCCTCCTCTCTGCCTCCTCTGCCTCCTCTGGCTCCTCTCAGCCTCCTCAGCCTCCTCTGCGCCTCCTCTCAGCCTCCTCTGCCTCCTCTGCGCCTCCTCTCAGCCTCCTCTGCCTCCTCTCTGCCTCCCCTCTGCCTCCTCTGCCTCCTCTCTGCCTCCTCTGCCTCCTCTCTGCCTCCTCTGCCTCCTCTCTGCCTCCTCTGCGCCTCCTCTCTGCCTCCTCTCAGCCTCCTCTGCCTCCTCTGCGCCTCCTCTCAGCCTCCTCTGCCTCCTCTCTGCCTCCTCTCTGCCTCCTTGCATCCTCTGCTTCCTCTGACTCCTCTCAGCCTCCTCTCAGCCTCCTCAGCCTCCTCTCTGCCTCCTCTCAGCCTCCTCTCTGCCTCCTCTCAGCCTCCTCTGCCTCCTCTGCGCCTCCTCTCAGCCTCCTCTGCCTCCTCTCTGCCTCCTCTCTGCCTCCTCACCCTCCTCTCTGCCTTCTCTCTGCCTCCTCTCTGCCTCCTCTCTGCCTCCTCTCAGCCTCCTCTCTGCCTCCTCTGCCTCCTCTCAGCCTCCTCAGCCTCCTCTGTCTCCTCTGCCTCCTCTCTGCCTCCTCTCTGCCTCCTCTCTGCCTCCTCACCCTCCTCTCTGCCTCCTCTCAGCCTCCTCAGCCTCCTCTCTGCGCCTCCTCTCAGCTTCCTCTGCCTCCTCTCAGCCTCCTCTCAGCCTCCTCTCAGCCTCCTCTGTGCCTCCTCTGCGCCTCCTCTCTGTCTCCTCTGCGCCTCCTCTCAGCCTCTCACTAAGCCGTTTATCTCTCTCAGACACTTTTAGCTCAGCCACCACATCCATTAACCTCCACTGTGGTC